AGGCGACGAGCTGGGGAGGGAAAGCAGAGGTAACTGAAGCGAGTGCAAAAGAGGCGCCATGTACAAAGAGGAGCAGGGTGGAGGAAAACAGAGGCCTCCAGACCTAGAAACAGTGGCACCCTTCCCACCATGGCCTGGGAAGGAAGCTGTGCCAGAACCCGGGAGCTGGGGAGAGCCCTGCCTTCAGGAAGGACGCAGCCAACAACCAGTGACTCAGGAGAATAAACACCCCAGTTGCATCTTTCGCATGCACTCCCTCTGGTCTCCAGCCAGGCCCCACACAGGCCCAGTCCAACCTGAAGGCAGAAAACAGAAGAGCCATGTGATGGAGTCCGTAGTGATCAGACTCCAGGGTGCAGAGAAGGGTGCATGAAGGGAGAGTGTGGATCTGGAGAGGTAAACAGAAGGTGTCCAGCACACCTGTAGAGCACGGCTCCACCTTGTAATAAGGGGAGATGTACGTCTGTGTGATTATTTAAAGTCTGTCTGTCCCGCCCAGCCCCATGGCTTAGTGTTTGAGCATCTACCTATAAACCAGGAGGTCACAGTTCAATTCCCAGCCAGGGCACATGCCTGGGTTGCAGGCTCAGTCCCCAGTAGGGAGCATGCAGGAGGCAGCCGATCAATGATTCTCTCTCACCATGGATGTTTCTATCTCTCTCTCCCCCTCCCTTCCTCTCTAAAATCAATATAAAATATAAAATTAAATAAATAAATAAAGCTTATCTGTCCCATTCCCCCTTGAACTCCATGAGGGCAGGGACTGGGTCGCCACTTTATTCTTAGCAGCTAGCATAGCACTTGCACATAGGAGGCACCCACTAAATATTTACTGTGAATGAATGAATAGAATGAATAAACGAATAAAATGGTTGAGTGAATTAACATGCTCCTCAGTACTGAAGAGCAGACACTCACAGAGGGAAGGCTTCAGGATTATTCAGGACTAGCCATTCCTCTTCCAGACCCAGAAAGCGGAGGAATGGTCCTTATTGAGCATCAGCCATGACCTTCAAGACCCTTGTCATATAGCCCTGTCCAGGGCAGGAATGGATGCCCGGACATAGTCTATCTTCCCCCATTGACTCATAGCTGGACCCACTGCCCATACCCCTTGACTCAGTGTGGGACCCCAGGGAACCCCAACTCTGCTGTCCACCAAATCCTCCGGGAGGTCTGGCCCAACCCTCACCACATCTAACCCCAGCATGTGAACACCAGCCTGACTGCCCTGGGGTCACAGTGCCTCCTCCAGTAGTGTGGTCAGGATCATGAACTGCCCACCACTCAGTCCTGTGGGCAGATGACACCCTGTCCCATAGGCCTCACCTAGCCCAGTCCCATTACCTTCCCTCTCAGCTACTGCCCAAGTAGCAGCGTTCCAGCTAGCAACACCCAACCTATCCAGGTGACTGGGGGCTATCCAGGAGCTGTAGGCTTCGATCCCGAGACAAGCTTCAGGCTCTGCCTTCCTGTCACCTCCCCTCATGGTGAAGGATGCCAAGCCTGCTGTGTATGGCTGGAAAAGTTGCTCACTACACAGAGGTGCCCAACTGAGTCAGACAGTGAGGGTTGAAATACAGCCCATGTCCCACTGGCCACGCTGTGCACCTGGCATGAGCTGAGGCTGCCCAAAGGAAGGGGTGCCTTTTTCTCATTTGAATAAAGATGCCTATGGGCTAGGAGGCTATGCTGGTATCATCCTACACAGAATCTGGGCAAAAGAGCTATAACCAGCACAACTGGGGCCTGGAATATTCTATGTCTGAATTTCAGGAAATCAGATGGCTTCAAGGCCAGTCCTTCCTGTGGAAACTCATTACACACCAAAGAAGGACCTTCTGGAGCAAAAAAAGATATCACTGCCATTACATTTATCAAAAAAGCATGGCAATCAATGTCTCATGCATAGACTGCATTTCAAATGCTCTTAATCAATGGCTGTGCTAATTACACATTTATTGCAATTAATTTCATTTCAATTATGCCTTAATTACTAACCTTGAGTGAGCTTGGGCAGCTCAGAGAATTCGTGTCACCACACAGCTAGGACCCAGAGATAAGTTGCTGTCCTTCGATTGAAAGATGCCGCTCCATTAAAAGTTGGTTTATTGGATCAAGGCCTTTTTGGAGAGGAGGGGGTTGGTTTCTCCCGGGAGGCAATTCATAATGTGAGTCTGAAATTGAATGCAGGAAAGCAGGCAGCTGTGCTTACTGATTAACTGGAGCTGGTGTTCATTTACTCCTTATTGACGCCGATTCCTCGCGGCTTCATTAGCTGTGGTCAGAGTCTAGATGCCTTCGGAGTTCCTGCTTTTGTGATGTCCTCAGCCTCTGGCTCAGTCCCACTTGTTCCTCATCTTCCCTGGAAAGAGGGCTTTTTCTCAGCCCCTCCGCATGTCCAGAAGTGTCCGCTTTGCATTCCTCCGGCAGGGCCTGGGCCCCTTGGCTTCCATGGCCCGCCCATCGAGACTCCCCAGGGGACTGCCACTTCAACAACCCAGATGGGGATCGGGAAAGAACCTGCCCGGTGCCAGAGCAAGAGCAGTGTGTACAGCAGACAGAGCTCAGGCTCTGGATCCCTCAGTCCTGGACTCAAGTCCCAGGCCTGACACTTCCTCGCAGCGTGGTCTTCGGGCAAGCCATTTAGTCTTCCCCGAGTCAAGTAAATGAGAAGCAAAAGTGCCCAACTCTGGTCGGAGCTTAAAACAGCATCAAGTGCTTTCGACAATAAACCCTTCTCTCTGGCTTACAGCACGTCTGCCTCCAGGAGGTTTCCTTATTTATAGGAGAGCAGATCTTAATGCAAAACAGTTTTTTAACTAGCTCAGGAGAAAGAGACCGTAGGAATCTGCTACTCCAGGCCTTTACCTTAAGGATGGGGAAACTGAGGCCAAGAAAGGGGAAGCCTGAAGTCACATCATGAGTTGGTGCCAGAATCAGACTAGAACTGAGTCACCCGAGTCCCAGCTCTTTCCTGCCACATCACAAGGCAGCCTTTTAGAAAGCCATCTGTCAATATCTGGTAAAGACTGGAGGTACAGAAATATCCCACGTATGTGCTCCAAGAGAGAAGTACAAAGATCTTTACTGCAGAACTATTTGTCATCAGAAGAAAGGTATTAACAACCTAAATATCCCTCACTAGACAGACACAGAGGCAAACTGTGATGGATTTATAGGCCGGAATACTATACAGCAGTTAAAATGGATGTCCTTGATCAATATTATCAGCCTGGATAAATTTCTGAACTACACTGTTTGAGTTTTAAAAAGCTGCTGAATATTTACAGCGTGATATCACTTATGTTAATTTCTTAAATTCACATAGGCAAAGAGAGAGATTATAAATACAGCCATATGTATATGAGGTATTAAAACATGAGCAGGAAGAATATATCAATTGAGTGACTACTTGGAGGAAGGGAGAATAGGACTGAGGAGGTGCACAAAGAGTCACTTACAGTAGTAAGTGTAGCATTTTACTTATTTTTTCAAGAAAATTTTAAAGCAAATATGATTAAATATTCATGTGTTGGTTTTGGGTGTTAGATACTAGGCTTTCTTACTTTCCAAATTCCTTGTTCTGTTTAAAATATTTCATCATTACAATGAAAGAGCACAACAGTTAAGCTTGATAATCATCATTTACTCAAAACAGAGGCATTAACGTTGAGATCATTCCAGGTTAACACTCAGTGCCACCAGAGAGAGGGTGACCACACACCCCAGCTTACCAGACCTAAAGCAGAGCTTGTGGGACATTAGGATAGACTCAGCAAATATTTATTCAATGAGTTGATTAAAGAATTAAAATAGAGTGGATATTCAATAAATGCATGTTCTCTCCTTTTGCAAATATTCGCAGGAAAATCAATGAAATGGGGCAGAGAGAGACACAGAGACCAGTGACGAGCCCACTGTAGTTGTCAAGGTCCTAGACTCTTGGAGATGGTGGCTGGGACTAGGGTGATGGTAGTGGAAGTGGAGACAAATGGACATTATTTCAAATATAATTAGGAGATGAAATTGGTAAGCTGTGCTGATTTGGAGACTGAGGAAGAAGATCAGGCTAAGATCCTGGCGTCACTATTCTCTGGGAGAAGACCAGGCTAGAGGAGAGTCTTGAGTTCCTTCTTGGACACAAGGCATTTAAGGTGCAGCACAACCTTCAAAGGGGAACAAGCACCTTCCAGTGCCCCCTCCCCCCTCCGATGCCAATAACACCTCCTCCTGGGGCTCTGGGTGGTGGGCTCAGCCCTCCAACCAGGACAGTGGGCCCCGGAGGGCTCCAGCTTCCATTCCCTGGGTTTTCAGTGATTCGGATTTTAGTTTGAAGGCTGTCAGGTGGGTTTTGGAGCAGCAGTTTGGACTGTGCCCAGCAAGACAGCCTTTCCCTCTCACCTTTGCATTGTCAAACTTCTGATGATTAAAACGATCCAGGTAAGAGTATTCTCCAGCCCCACGGCTATGCTTCCATCCCAGCTGGATCCCAAAGGGGACCCAGGCCTAGAGGCTGTCTATCACCTGGGGGCAGGGGCTGGGCTAGTTACATAGAAATATGGAAAAGTTTCTGGCCCCCAAGTTCCTGGGGAAATGCTATCAAGAGTGTTGGCATGCGTCCAACCATCAATGTCTGCCTTCATATCCCTTAAAAGGAAACACAGAGAGAAACCATTCTGTGAGTGGAAGATTTTACAGTGCTAGTGAAAATTATGCAAAAGAAATCATGAACCTAATCAAAATCTTTGTGGGTCATGCTGGAAATGCCTTTTCTTAAAACATTAGCCTTGCTCTTGGGTCTCGTTCATTTTTTTCTGTCCTGAATAGTGTGGAAATTTTGGCCTTTTCCAGATGGACTCAGTGACTCTGGGAGGCTGCAAATGGATTTCCCAAAGGCTGTGCACAGTTGGTTTTCTTTCAGCTTTTCTTAATTTTCATTTATTTTTCTTCCATCTTCCCCCTGGCCTTGGGCCAGTGCTTTTGGGTTGAATAAATTTAAATGTCATTACTGATAATGGGAAAAGCCAAGCCCAATTTTGAGCCATATCACACAATGTAACTTATGCAAATGGGGCAGGAGGGGAGGATTAAAGGCCATCAGTAGCCCCAATCACACTCCAAAAATCCTTCAGGCACCAGTGCATCAAGTCCCAGTTCAAGTTCAAGTTCTGGAAAACTCTAGGATACCTCCAATTATCTCAATGACTCTTGCAAACTTCTCAAAAATTTCTCAAAACAAATCAAATTTTCATTCAGTGCTCAATTAAATATAAGTACATATCATGCAAGACTTTGAAGTGGGGCTTCTTAACTTGGGTTCTGCAAGCCTATGGCTAGAATTCAGTGATCTAT